TATGAACTTCTGGGCTCTCAATCTATACAAGTTATTACAATCTCACCTGGCTTAGCATCTTTTTCTTTAACGAAAATTTCCACTTCCACTTTGTGTTATTTTTTTAGCAAGACACTTTGTAATAAATCCATGGCTATTCTCATGAGTTGTATTATTAATTCTAAACAACTTCTGAGACTGTTTTCATTCACATTCAACAGAGAAACTTCAACCAGAGCTGAAGTGCCAAAGGGGGTATTTTGCTGTTTATGTTAGATAAAGGGTGAGGAAGCATTTTGTTGTGCCCTTATCAAATTTGAGCGAGTCTTCGTTTCAGGAATTATTAAGTTAAGTTGAAGAAGAATACGGATTTAATCATCCAATGGGTGGCCTCACTATTCCGTGCATGGAGGATATATGAAGATAATCACAAACTTTCGGGAAGATTTTAGATTTTTCCACTTGCAACCAGCTTTAGAAGAAGAAGAAGGAAAAAAAGCCTCCACCGCCATTGAAGGATTTATCTAGAATTTTGTTGAAATCTCTTCCATCAAAAATAGCTTAGTATATATATGTGTGTGTTTGCCCTTTGCATTTTGTGAAGTGAGTAGAGAGGAGTGAACATCAAGAGAAATGGAGAGTGGACTATGGAAAGAAAAAGCATTGTGTTGGGTGTTGTGCGTGAGAGAGAGTGTGTGGAAATAGTTTCTGTGAGTGAGAAAAATATTATTGGTGTGTGAGTGCTTATTTGAGTGCATAAAATATTATTGAGTGGTCTTGTATGTATAAGTGATTTATTATCAATAAAAATATTTTATTTTGAAGTTTAAACTCAACCATTTGGCATTGAAGTTAGGCATTTGGGGATGGTTTTTCGGGCTTCTTAAGTTCATGCATAAAAGTAGAATGGGAAGCTTCTATGAAGCTTGATTACGAAAAGATAAATCAAGTCACGATGAGCGATATACAATCGGTGGGCGGAGTAAAGAAGGTCAATAATCATAACTATACCACATAGCAAGCTTTCATGGAGTCATATCTCCAAGGGCAAGACTTATTGGAAGTAGCTTGTGAAAGTGATGTGATGCCACCAGAGGAGGCCGAAGCTTTGAAAAAATGGAGAATCAAATGGGCAAGGCCATGTTCATCACAAAGACTTGAGGTTCCAATTGTTGGAAAATGAGCTGCTCTCGATCACTCAATGAGAATTAACGGTAAGGCAATACTTTAATAAATTTAAATTTCTTGGTCACGAAATTTCAGAATTAAATTCTTCGAGTAAGATTTCGGAGTCTAGAATAAGAAGAATAATTATCCATAGTCTGAGACCCGAATTTAGAGGATTCATTGTCGTAATACAAGGTTGGCCAGAGAAACTTTCATTAGTCAATCTCGAAAATCTGTTGGCCGACCAAGAAGAGTTGACCAAGCAAATGTTAGGGGTCTCAATTAATAAAGAAGATGAAGAAGCACTATATA